CAGTGTGAGGCCAAGAAGAAATGCTGTGCCCCCCCCCCCCCCCCTAGCTTTCCCCCAGAGGAAATCTACACAGAAGAATGCTGGAACCGGACCATACAGAAGCTCTGGAAAAGCTCTCGAAAGGGAACCCTTCTAAACAGGACCTGAGGAGCAGCTGGTGTCACCCGAGCTGACTGCTCTGCTCTCTAGGCGAACAGGAACCTCCCTGTTGGCCTCAGCCCTAGAAGCTTCATGAATACGTGAGGAGTGTCTACCCTGGCTAGCAACCCAGAAGGTAGAGAGGGCGCTTTTGGGTATATCAGCCCCTTACGGGATGGAAGCCGCCTGATAGAGAGTTATCCCAGCCCTCCCCGTCGCAGAGGACCCGGGTTCCTTTATTGATCCTGACAGAGGCTTCAGAATCTATCCCACGATAAGTGAATGGCCTCCCAAAGCCTCCAAGGGCTGGAGGCAACCAGGAGTCCAGGCTCACTGAGCCACAGCCAGCCCAGTGTCTAGGTTAGGGGCCGCAGCAGGGCCACCTGCTACCGGGGCATCTGCAGCCTTCACTGCCACCTTCAGGTTCCACGCCCTCTTCCCCGCTCCCCCCCCCCCCCCCCCCCCCCCCCAGCACCCCACTGCAGCCTTTCCCAGTGCTCTGCCTTCTGCTGCATGCACAGATGGTGGGGGAGGAGGTGCCACTGCCCTGATGACCAACAGGGGGACATGATGGGATTGCTGAGCTTCGGGCCGCACTAAGAGGAGAACAGATGAAGGACAAGCTCTAGATGACGTAGGATGTAGGCGACAGTGCTGGGTGACAGAGGGAAGGGAAAGGTGATGAGTGTGAGAAAGGATAGTAATCAGTGACACCTTAGAAGCCACGGGCCTTACCCTCCTTGTGGAGGAAAAGTCCAGATGTGTGATTCAGCCGCCCTGCTCGTTGGAGAGACAGTAGAACGGTCCTTTTCTCCCCACCCTGAGCAGCCAGATTTTTAGAAGCCACAGCCAATGGGTGGGGTGGTCAGTTTCTTCCCAGTTCTGCAGAAATGTGGCTCTCTGGGTAAAGTTTGCTTGGGGTGGAGCGTTTGGGGTGAAAGCAGGCTTCCCGCCCCCTCAGCACCTCTTTGGGCCTTGCAGGTCTTCTCATTTTCCAGGCCCTCAGCTCACGAGCTATTGTATAACAGCTATTGTTCTAATAATGAGCGAACATATAAAACTACAGTGTGCCAGGAGCCGTGCTGGGTGCAACCCCGGATATCTTGGTCCCCACAATAGCCCTGAGACAGAAGTGCTATCATGTCTCAGGGGTGGGTTGAGGAGAGCTGGATGGTGGTTGGGTAACCAAGGGCGTCAGCTGGCCATGTTGGTTGTGAGGTAAACAAGGGATACGATGCCAAGGATCTTGAGTATCTCAGAGCTGGCGGGCCCGGGGGCTGGGTACTGTCCTTCATACAGAACAGGAAAAGTCTGAGTGATTCAGAGATCACACCGGTCCCAGAAGAAAGACGAGGAAAAGAAGACTGGCTAGGGAGGTTGTAGGTGGAGCGGGCCTCCAAGTCATCTGTCTGAGCAAGGGTGGACTTGGGCTGGGGGATGCTTAGTCTGGGTAGAGGCCCCAGAGGGCTAGCAACTGGGCTGAGAATCTCTTGGGGAAAAGCAGCAGCTCTCTCCTGCTGTTCTGAGGCCATTGGGTCTTATGTGGGAGAGATTTCATTAGCCATCCGCTGCATCAGCAACAGCAGGGGTTCAGGTCTCCCCGGGAGAGGACTGGCCTCACTCTCCCTGTATTCTTGGTGCTCTTCCTCTGGGCTGCCTTGGTTTCTATTCCTTGGTCTCTCCAAGTCACCGGACACAGAGCCTCCCTGCCCTGTCAACTTTCACCTGTAGCTGATACCCCAGGGAAGTACCCTCATCCCAGTAGTTGAGGAAAGCAACTCAGAAGGAGGAGAGAGCAGGTCAGGTGTATCCTACTTCCCTCTAAAATGAGGATGGGGAACCTTTTTCTGCCAAGGGTCATTTAGACATTTATAATATTCTCAGGCCATACAAAAATTATCAACTTAAAAATTAGCCTAGCTGAAACCGGTTTGGCTCAGTGGATGGAGCATCGGCCTGCAGACTGAAAGGTCCCAGGTTCGATTCTGGTCAAGGACATGTACCTTGGTTGTGGGCGCATCCCCAGTGGGGGGTGTGCAGGAGGCAGCTGATCGATGATTCTCTCTCATCGATGTTTCTAACTCTCTATACCTCTCTTACTCTCTGTAAAAAATCAATAAAATATATTTTTTTAAAAATTAGCCCATATTTAATCAAACATTTAATTAGGTCACTCCTAATGTCTTGACAGGGCCAGACCAAATGATTTCGAAGGCCTTATACAGCCTACGGGAGGGATGTTCCCCACCCCTGCTTTAAAATATTCATCCATTTCTTTAGGCCCCGGAGGCCAGAGCAGGGAGCTGGAGTTGGTCAGGCAGAAGCGAGGGTGACCTCCACTCACCTCTTTGTTTCTCTGTATTGCCTGTATGGGTGGAGGCTGTATTGAGTGGTCCTACTGCAGTCTACACAAGGCCTCCTTCGTGGCCTCCCACAGCTCCCCTCCTCTGAAGAATGAAATTCCCTCTCCTCCCACGGCCCATTTCTCTCTCACCTCACTCTGTCCCCCTGGAAGCTGCTCAGGCTGGTGGTGAGAGGTCTTGGGATTTGGCCAGGGTGGAGGTGGAGAGTCACTTTCCCTCGTTGTGTGGCTTTGGACAAGTCGCTCCCCTCGGGTGGCCTCAGTTTCTTCAACTGTAAAACCAGAGACATTGGGCTGTAGCTTATGAATGGGTTGGTGCCCTATGCTTCACTGGCCACTGCTGCTGCCCACACTTTCCAGCGGTGACAGGGCATGGCCTGCCTGTTACCTGGAGAGCAGTAATCAACCCAGAAATCTTGTTGACAAGGCTGAGGGCAGAGTTTCCACTGGAAAAAATCAGCTTGCAGGAATAATTGCTGCAGATAAGAAATGGAAATATATCAAAGTAAACTAGGTATCTCCTGCTCCATGGCCTGGGGCCTCGTAGGACCCTGCCTGAGACACTGCTCCGCTCCAAGAAGCTGCCAGTGCTCTCAAGAGCCGCTCCTGGAGGCAACCAAGGAATGACCCCAGGAAGTCATCCAAGGAGTGGCCAGGTGGGTAGAGTGGGAGTTTGTAGCCTCATTTCTCTGGAGTGACCTGTTAACCCTTGATGCTACATGGGGCGTCAGCCCATGACTTTTATTTATTTTTTATTTTTTAAAAATATATTTTATTGAATTTTGACAGAGAGGAAGGGAAAGAGATAGAGAGTTAGAAACATCGATCAGCTGCCTCCCTCACACCCCCTACCGGGAATGTGCCTGCAACCAAGGTACATGCCCTTGACAGGAATCGAACCTGGGACCTTTCAGTCCACAGGCCAACACTCTATCCACTGAGCCAAACCGGTTTTGGCAGCCCATGGCTTTTCGAAGGTTCTCCAAGGTGCTGTCTATTCCCCAAAGGGTTACTTACTGAGATTGCAGTTTCAGTCCCCAGTTGGGGCATGTGTGGGAGGCAACCAATTGATGTTCTCTGTCAGATCAATGTTTCTCTCTTCTCTATCCTCCCCACTTCCTCTCTCTAAAGTCAAATTTTTAAAAAGAAGCACCTTCAGGGCTAAACTCCTTTGTGCAACTGCTGAGTCATCAGCCACTTCATTTCCCATCATTCAGTCAGTCGTTAAATAGTCCAGTGCACCTCCTATGTGTCTCAGAGCTCAGTGCTGGGACCAGGCTACCCTGGAAACAATGGAACCCCAGACGGAGGGGGCAGGAAGGCTTGGCGGAGCTCATGCAGCTGTTCACACAACGTCCTTTTCTTGGGTGAAGACTGTTCTCTCCAGGTGAAGGCCACGGAGGCTGATGCTGTCTGCATTCACCCTTCCTTACTGCCCTGTGGGACTCAGGGTCACACCTGGCAAATTTAGGAGGTCGAATCAAATTCAATGTAGCCCAGTCTAGCCTCCTCTGCTTCTCCCCTGCAACCTCACTCACATCATAACAATTTTCCTCTTTATGACAATTTTTCAGCAGATGAGAAACGAGCCCCTTCTTATAATTTGCACAGTGGCACCATGTGGTGGCCCTGCTGACGCCTCCTTGAGAGACCCTGTGGGAATGTCCTCCTAGGTTTCTCTTGGGTGGCTGCAAAGAGCTGGTCTAGGACCAGTGATCTAAGCAGCGTAACGGAGAACTTTCTAAACATAGAGCCACCCAAAGAAAGTGGGTTGACCTGGGAGATCATTCTCCACATGGAAAAATGTTCAAGTGCAGGCTAGCAAACTGGCTAGAATGTTGTGGGGGGATTGAGGTGGTTAGACTAGGTAGTGTGAAGTTTCCTTCTCAACTTGAGGTGTTCTGAGATGACTGGTATATGTTTGGTTTTTTTTTTTGACATTGTAATCTGCAGAAAATAATTTCCAACCATTATCACCCATATTTAAAATATGTGTGTGCAGGAGCTGGGGAGACAATGGGGGTGAGAAATGGGTTGGACGAAGTATCTATTTCTATAGCACGCTTCCTCTCTTCTTGCCCTCGTGTTTGCTCTGTTCCCCCTCAGCTTCTTCTGGGAAGTAGGTAATGCCAAGACTGCTCTGGAAAAAGAGTGTGGGTATATGTTTGGGCTAGTGGAGAAGGAAGAAAGGGCATCACCCTGGCTGGCCATGATATTGCCGTGCCCATGATATTACAGTGGCATAAAAAGATGCCAAGTAAAGAATAAGGGGGGTCAAACAGTGTTCACCTCGCAGGGCAGAGCTGAAAGGATGATTAAATGAGAAGCTGCGAGGGAAGGCGTGCACGCACATGTTCAGTTGTGGCTGGCGTCCACACGGGCCCGCCTGCTCCAGAGAGCCCACGTGTGGTTGACTCTGTACCAATTTTAGGAAGCAGCAGAGTTTTCTCCCCTTCTGGGAAATCATGTAGCTTTCTATTTCTTTCTAGACGTGGGGGAGGAGCTTGTGTCCGTGTCAACAATTGGAAAGCCCGGTTTTGATCACTCCAGCTCCAAGCCCACTGAGCTAGGCCCCACTCCTAGGCTTCCCTTCTCCACGGGGCTCCTTGGGGGCCACATCCTTCCTGCCCTGTCTGCTCCTCAGCCTCGGACGGTGAGCGGGCCTCCCGGGACTCATCTGGTTGCTGGGGGTCAGGGAGAAAGCTCGGTGAGGGAGTCTCACTCCTGGATGGTCTTAGGCCTCATCATGATGGGGATTCCGGCCTGGGAGCCGCACGGCACGTTTTCAGAGCAGCAAAGCCCTGAGAGGTCAGACCTCTTGTCCTCCCAGAGTCACGGCTGCACCACCCTCAGGGCTCCGAGGAGAGCGCAGTGAATGTGGTGGCGGGACCCTGTGCCCAGTGGCTCTTGGATCCTTGTCTTGCCTGGGCTCTGCCCAGGACCCCCTGCAGACACCACTCCACGAGGCTGACCTGATGAGACTTGGCCTGGGATGCCCATTTCCCAGAAGCCACTGGGAGATGGGGCGCCTGCCGTGTGAGCTGATGGGCAGACGTGCCGGAGAGACAGTGGTTTTGGTTTAGATGACTGGAAGGAAACATGTTATCTCTTCATTTCTTGCAAAGGCGAGGTCAGGCCCGGGGTCAGGTTCAGGCAGGCGTTTGATGTGGGACACAGACCCTAGAGGAATGGAAGCCAGGGGCTTTCTGCGGGGCTGAGCTCCACCCCCTCTGCCTCGCGATGGCTCTGTGCAGGGGCTTTGGGTATTTCTAAAGCAGAGGCAGGAGGGGGTTGCTGTGGGGACAGCCCCAGCAAAAGCAGTGGGACGTTCTGTGTACTCAGAACATGAATTGGGGGTGGGAGTTATGACGTGACAAAGGGGGCTGGTAGTAAGAGGTGTTTTTCCACTTGTCCTTTTTCTTACCATGTCTTTGCCTCGCATTCCACACACTTGGACCTGAGAGCTGCCCCTAAGATAATCTCTCTGACAAGGACCATCCAGTAGTGCACAGCTGTAGGGGAGGGGAGGCCGGTATGTGGAATGGTATTTTCCCAGATAAGAGGGGCTGGTTGGCACTAGCCGGTTTGGCTCAGTGGATAGAGTGTCGTCCTGTGGACCAAAGGGTCCCGGGTTCAGTTCTGGTCAAGGGCATGTACCTCTGTTGCAGGCTCCTCCCCGGCCCAGACCCTGGTCAGGGCACATACAGGAGGCAACCAATTAATGTGTTTCTCTCACATCAATATTTCTCTCTGTCTTTCCCTCTCTCTTCCACTCTCTCTAAAATCAATGGAAAATATGCTGAAGAAAAAAAAAAAAGGAGAAGAAGAAGAGAGTTGATGGGCAGAATGCAGGTCCTGACTCAGGCCTCCCATGCCGTGATTTTGGGAGGAAAAGACATTTTCCCCTCGTGGCTTGGGGATTATTCTTTCCATTGCTCCCTGACTCGGAAGAGAGAGGTGTGCAGGGCTTTGGCTTGGGGAAATGACAGATGCTTCCCTTGGGAAAGGCAACTGGGCAGAGACTCCAGGCTAAGATGCCTGGAGTTCATATCTGAGCTCCAAAGACAGTCGAGTCCTTTGTGCCTCAGTTTCCCACTCCTGAAATCGGAATAGTAACAGTACCCACCTCGAGGTTGTTGTGAGGACTAAATGAGTGAGTGCATGTGAAGAACTTGGAGCAGGGCCTGGCATGGTGATAGTGTCTGTGCTGATGCTTATCACTGGGATGGGAGGAGCCAGCAGGAGGCAGTCAGCCCGTCCTCGTGTGACCCCTGGCACCCCACTTGCTGGGCCATGGAACCCACTGCAAGTCACTCAGAGTTCCCTAGACATTGGTGCTGCCATCTGTAGAAGGGGCTGCTGCTCACCTCACAGGATGTTATGAGCTGACGTGAGATCATACGTGTCTGAGCTTAGCAGGCTGGCACATAGTAGGTACTCCATACACTTTATTTTTTAAACTCAAGAGTGGTGTCTACCTGGATCTCGTGTTTGACTTCTGAGCATCTTAGAGGTGGAGGGCAGGAGAGCAGGGGTCCTTTCTGTTCCCACCGTGCTCTCACCTCAGCCTGTGGGAGCAAGCAGGGCATCGGAGGGTGGACAAGGCCACAGGGTAGAATCCTGAAGTGCGTGGTCAGCTGGGGCCTTGGGCACTACAAGCAGAAGTAGCAAAGGAGAACTTAGCTTGGGGGAAAGTGACAACATGTCTGTCCCCGCAGGTATGCCTCCTCCTCCCACCCAAGGTCCCGGGCAGCGGGCCAGCCTGGCCCAGGTTACCTCAGTTCATGATTCACGGGCGTCTTCCCCGGATGTTGCATGGGGGCTGGCAGTGCCTGAGAGGGTGGCAAGTGGGCTCCATGGGCTGGTGGCCTTAGGCCTGGGCCCAGATGTTGGACGCCCCTTCCCTGTCTCATCGGGCCACTAGGAGGCAGGGAGACCAAAGCTGGGGGTCTGAGCCTTCCCCATCTGGGAGGCTGTCACCAGGCTGCAGGGTCAGACACCTGCATATCTCTCATCTCCCCAGCCACCTCCTGTTGGCATCAGTGAAGGGAGGGTGTGTGTTGTGTGTGTGGGCGCCTACGGGTAGATAAGCGGGGCTGGGTGTGGATGGAAGTGGGGAGGGTGAAATTCTGCCAGCCCCACCTTGGTGACCCATCACGCCACTAAAACCCAGAGACTGGGCAGCAGCGTCACCTTCAGCCCTCGCTGAGGCCGGGGGAGTTAAGAAACTGTCTGGGGAAGAGCTAAAAGTGGCAGAAAACATCCTGTTTGCAAGTGCGCAGCTGGATTTAACCCTTGCAGTACCGTGCCGCCTACACCCAGTCTCCACAGACAGGAGATCCCAGACACCTGTCATTGACGCCGGCCAGGCCCTGGGCCGGCTCCCAGGTCCCCTCAGCTCCCCTGTGTCTGACATGGGGTGTCCTCCAGGCCACACCGGGGCTCCACTTCTCAGAACACCCTTCTCGCCTGGGTGAGAGCCATGGAGCAGGAGTGCCCCCTTATAAGGAAGCCCTCCTCCCCCGGACACCCTCTGTGCCAGGGAGGAACCTCCAGCCCCCACTGCTCTCGCTGCTCCTTGCTTCTGCCCACCCCAGGGAGGGCCGTGCTGTCTGGCTCCTGCCCCCTCACCCCTGCCTCTGTGACACAGCAAGCCTGCCCTCAACAAGTAGCTTCTGTCAGGTCTCAGTCCCTGGAAAGAGCCTCTGTCAGCGGCCTGTTGGGCTCCTCAGAGGCCCGGCTGCGAGGCCAGCGCTGAGCTGTCAATAAAATGTGTCCTCTCCTTTCCTTTCAGAGCCCTTTCGGTCAGAAGTGTCTGCAAGACCTCACAGAAGGGCAGCCCTGGACTCGCTTTACCTGCCCCCTGCTCCTCCAGGTGGGTGCTCACCCTGACTTCCTGCTTCCCGGGGCAGGATGGGCCATGGGGAGTGCTGGGCTTCGCACATGCGGGCTGGTCCTGTGTCAGCAGAATCCGAAGCGGCCCGCAGCTGAGGCCCAGAGACCTGGCGGAGGAGTAGTGGGGGCTCAGAGGGAGGGGCCGGCTGCCTCCAAGGCTGGGACCCCGGGGACCATCCAGCCTGGTGACATCTCCTCTCCTGCTCGCAGCTCCTCTTTCTCTCTCCTGCCCCCCAGTCTCTGCCTGTGTGCCATTCGTGGGACTGCCAGGCCCCCAGCCATAGCTGCCTAGGCTTCTTTTCCACCTCTGGACTCTGGTCCCCGACTCTGGCTTCCTGGCATCAGCAAAATACTCCATGCAGGGCTGCATTTTCTCACAGCTCACCCGAAAAGAAAATGGTGCTTTTCTCGGGAAGCCGCTGGCTGCCGGGCCCAGCCCTCTGGCTGCCTCACCCAGAGCCCCTGCCAGGAGTCTTGCTGATGTCACGTTCCCCAGCCCTCTTGTATGGTAACATCTCCTAATGAGCCCATGTGATGCCGAGCATTTCTTACACGGGTTTGACTGACGTTTCCCCACCCCCACATCTGACTTCTCTTTTCCACCAGATGTTTGGGCTCTTGGATGATGCAGACTCTGTGGCAACGTCATGGTGACAGGGGGTTGCGACATCTCAGCCGACCTGGGGTTAAGCCCCAGGCCTCCTAGACAGTTTCTCCCGTTGTCCCGCAGTGCGATTGGGCCTCCGGGATCTCTGCCCAAATGTTAGGGGGGGGTGAGACCTGGTAGCCAGGAGCCAGCCTAAACTTGAAGTGGATTCTATGGACACGCTTGACAGACCCACAGTCCCTTTTTCTTTCATTTTTAAATTGTTTTAAACTTGTGAAATGTTTTATATATACAGATAGGCATATAAAACATGACAGTATTTTAATAATAAGATCTCATATACTTACCACTCAAAGAAATAGATTGTGGCTACTACATAATGCCTCCACATGCCCTTTCCTGTGCCCCTTTCACCCCCTCAAAGGTTTCTGTTAATCATTGCTTTATTCTCTCTCTCTTTTTTTTTAATTGTTTATTGATTTTTAGAGAGAGAGGGAGTGGGAAACAGAAAAACATCCATGTGAGGACACAACATCCCCCCCCTACTGGGGACTGAGCCTGCAACCCGAGCATGTGCTCTGACCAGGAATCAAAACCTGCAACTTCTTGGTGCACAGGATCACACTCAACACAGTGAGCCACACCAGCCAGGCGCGCGCTCTCTCTCTCTCTCTCTCTCTCTCTCTCTCTCTCTCTCTCTCTCTTCTCTTCTCTTCTCTTCTCTTCTCTTCTCTTCTCTTCTCTTCTCTTCTCTTCTCTTCTCTTCTCTTCTCTTCTCTTCTCTTCTCTCTCTCTCTCTCTCTCTCTCTCTCTCTCTCTCTCTCTCTCTCTCTCTCTTCCCTCCCCCCTCAGTATATATAAACATTACAGTTGAGCAAGTGTCAGTCTAGCTGCAGCAGGGAAAGGTAATGTGTCACTATTATCACGTTAAAGTTCCCAGGAAAAGCGGAGCTGAAGGGGAAAGTGAGGGGGCCTACCACCCCAGGGCTGCTCTGTGCCTTTGGGACTGACATCCCATGTCCTTATCCGTCCCACTTCTTTCCCTTGGCTTGAAGCTCTTTGTGGAACTTTAAAAACATTAAGTATTCATTTTGTGCATTTTGTAATCATAGTTGCTAGAGATACCTCAGGCTTTGGGCTTCTCTGGGCCTCATGTGTAA